ACATTTCCGCCTGCAAGGGCATCTAGATACCTAACAGACACTCCATCTGTTGATGTCGCCATGAAAGATCCTGGGTGCGATATGGAATAGTCCAATAATAGCCTTTCTTCATCTCCAAAACGATATGGTTAAATCAATGTTTTATAGTTTTTGATTGTTATATAATGCAGCCACGTCACAATCTCATCAACGCATTAATCGATAATGTGTGTGACTTAAGCGGTAGCCGAGGTAATCGACGACTGTATTGAATTCAATCTGTGCCACCTTAACCCTTCTGTGTTGGTCTTTGAGTGATGGACCCGTGAAGATCCGGAGTAGAGTAGGACTTAAGCAACGCATGCTTGCCGTAAAAGCCGAAAATAATATGGTTGATGAATACCTTCATTTAGTGGTTAAAAAGCTGACGATGCGTTATATATTGCCCAAGGTAATTTGTCACTGGTTATCAATATGCTACATGTGGTACTTGCCATCTGCAACTGGTTGTAATCAACAACATTCATTGGAAACTTTAATTAGCAATGATGTGTCAATCTAAATATTCCACGAGCAATACACCAGGAAGAGCATACACAGTATACCCGTTTGCAGGTAAGCAATATTGTCTTCTTAAGGAATAAATAATAGATCACGTACACGTGGTCACCTTGTCAGATTCATAAATCACAACGCTTCCTAAACATGAAATATATCGGGTGGACAGACTCGCTGACTTGGTTGATGCTTGTCATCGATCCCAATTGCGTAGATCGATGCTCATGATATTAATCACTGGATTGTCTGGTCCAGACTCGATTATTTACAGACCGCCGTCATATAGCTGGAATATTGCTGAGTGCGGCGTTAAACAACAAACAAACCAACCAACAACCATTCAGTCCAGTTCAGAAATGTTTAACTGATCACTTAACATGTGAATGAATGTTACATATCTAGATCTGACACGGGACTCGATACTTTGTATATGAGTTTGTCCTCGTGATTACCAGGACAATGTTATTTTCAGAACAACGATTGTCACTGTGTATTTCAGGCAAACGTTAACGGGAAATATGCAAGATCACCCTAGTACTTACAATAGGTTTGCGATATGATTGCTTTACATAAGCGTACACAGAGTCTTTATTTCCTCTAGATTACGAAGATTACAATGAAAATATATTCAATTACACGCAGCTAACACGATAAAAAGGGCATAACATATTTACAATTACACACAGTTTATCAAATTCAGTTTGTACAGATACGAGGCGAATTGTAGTATAATAGTTTCCAAGGTGTGTTGATCCAGATTGTGAGTCAATTTTTTTTCAGCCCACAATAAGACTGTTAACATATCTGTTTCGTCTTGCATTTCAAAATCAACATATTTTTGAACGTCATGTACGTCAATGAGAGAAGAGAAAAACGCATTTCTTTCTGATATCAGCGCTTCACAATGTAAAATAATGTAAATGTAAATACATAAACAAATCCTTCGGAATGAAAGGGTTTGGCTAAATCTGAAAAATATATACCCCATAATCTGCAAATAGCTGAGGGTGTAAAACCACATTCATCCTTATAGTTAAGTATGGGTATCTCGGCCACCCGCCCTCGTTGTTTTCTAACAGTTTTATGAAGAGAATTTATATCAAGTTCAGCTGACCTCTCAATTTCCCTTAGGGTATTCTTTTTGTTGGACCTTTTCAATTTTCGATAGAGGCGCCTGACGTGTCTCTTTTCAGTTTTATAAGAGATGCGCGAATCTGAGTTTTCGTCCCTGGTTTTACCGTTATTTAGCCATGCACGTCGAGCAACCCCCATACGGTAATGTGCATCATTAAGTCCATCAGGTTTTCAGAATTGTTTAAGATAAGGTTTATATTCACATTTAGGGATACATTTTGAACTTGCAAGTAAAAGGCATTTACTTATATGGTCGCTATAAGTGTCAACATGTTCAGGCTGACAAGACAGATTACAGTCGTGAAAGGAGTTAAGATATGTACCAAATTCACATTGGTACATGAGTATATCATCTTGACTTGCTTTGTTCCATTTTGGAACAGGGGGGTTAATATTGAGATTATTTCGACCAAAGGCTCTCAATGACAAAGAAAATAAATACGGGATGTGATCTGACACCGTATAAGGGCATGTATCTATAACATGGAGATCGGTAATATGGTCTTTTAACCACGAGAGTACCAGGACATAGTCAGTCATACTCTTTGAGGTGTTATCCTTGGATCTACATGTATAACGTGGGGAATGGGTTGCTAGCTCACTAATGGTATGTAGGAGGTGTCTATCAGATATAGCAGTGCTAACTAGCTTATCCCGGGCAGAGAGATTGTGCTTACAAATATCTGCATTAAGATCACCAAGGATAAAAGTAACACCCTGTTCACAGAGATCATCATACATATCTATGAAGGGCGTCACAATACACAGAATGTAGTACATTAGTTGAAGGTAGGCGACATGCTATTACATAAATATCACAGTAGTGTCGCCGAGTTAGTTTGATAGCTTTTGCGTGGTCTGTGCTTACAGTGATAGTGTGAGCTTTCCACTCGCTGTTGCTTTTAACTTAGATTGCTAATCCATCTGATCCCCGAAAACAGCATGTTTCCAGAGAAACAGCATTATTGGATATCAAATTTAGGTCCTGAAAATATTTAATTTAGACAATCTATTTGCCGGCAGCCAATGCTCCTGTAGGGCCACAACATGTCGAGACAATGTCTGACGAATATAGTCTGTACCGTGGAGAACTCCACGTACATTCCATGTTAAAAATGACAGCGTCATTAGTAGTACACCCAACTTGATCACAGTGTCCCTTCTAAACTGGATGTGACACAGGAATGTTTTATTACCTGTGGGTATGACAGTCGGCGTTACGAGATGTCATCCGGGTCTTGGGTACATATTCTCTCGTTTTATTACCTGGAGGCCAAAAATCTGGATTAGTAGAAACGAAGTGTTCATAGTCGTCATAGTCGATGTTCACTTGCACAGTGTAGGTGTTGGTAGTTGTAGGGTTGATTCTTCTTCATTAGTCGGACAAAGGTGACACCCACACGCATATCCTGGGCGTACTCGTACATCAGATCTTTGACAGAGTCAGATGGTTCATCAGCTTTGATGTTTTACAGAACTGGGGCGGTCGGGTAGCCTAGTGGTTAAAGTGTTCGCTCGTCACGCCGAAGACCCGGGTTCGATTCCCGACATGGGTACAATGTGTGAAGCCCATTTCTGGTGTCCCCCGCCGTGATATTGCTGGAATATTGCTAAAAGCGGCGTAAAACCATACTCACTCACTCACTTGTACAGAACTAGTCGTTTTGTCCGGATTCTCGGTACACCTTCTAGGGCGTGATACGCCTTTGCCAGTGATCTGATGGGGTACGATTTCGGTTTCTCGTGGGTGAGGTGGTTATCAGTGGGGGGTCGGTATGTTTTGCTCGAGCTCACCTGTTGCCACGGCTCTGTTTCATGATGTTCATCCTGGTAGGTGAAGTCATAGTCGTAATTCCGTTCGGTTAGATCAAGGTAATTGTATCCTGATCTCTCACGTTCACCCCGTTGGGTGTCTGAGTGAACACATGGCTTTGGCCTGTCTTGCGCTGATCTGTCTTCATCCGTGTTAATATCAGGTGTATTTGACATCGATGCTGTTGGAGACGTAGTTGTGGTAAATGGCCCATCTGTTTTATGTGATTCGACTGCATGAGCTACTGTCACGTTAAGTTCATTAAGAAGTGACCTCAGCAATCGCACACTACGCGAAATAGTGAAATATGTCTTAACGCGACGTTTCACCTCACCTCACCTCACCTTACCTTGTAAGAGGCCACTAAATGGATCGACAGGCTAGACTCAGAGTCTTGATTGCGTGTCATGGTGCCCTGACTTCGGGAGACAACAGACAAACACCACATCACGAGGCACTTGAGTCACACACAGGTGGTTTGGGTTTTAATAATTTACATATCGGACGCAGTGGTTGTGTTTCAATAACTATTCCAGTTAAACGTTTCTGAGCGATCGTGGTGTCCAATTAAGCGTGTTTGGAAGTAAAAATAAATGTAACAAACATATTTTTAAATTTAATAATTAGTTGATATTTTTTTAGATTTTTGACGTGGCATATATATGGTTCAGGAATATATGGTTAAAGAAGTGACTAGTAACCAAACGCTCATTGTATTGTTCTTAATGTGAGTTCATTGCTGCTATTCATTATTTATCTAAAGTTTTGAGAAAAAGCACGGGTCTATAAAAAACAATATGGGTGTTGAATACCTTCAAATTGTGGGTAAAAAGCTGACGACACGTTATATATTGCCCAAGGTAATTTGTCACTGGTTATCAATAACAATGATGTGGCAATATAAATATACCATGTCGTTCGACAACCAATATACCCGAAGGAGCAGACACAGTAAAGTCGTCATCGCAGGTAAGAAATTGTCTATTTAGACAATGATGGATCACTTTTAAAGGAATAGATATATAGAATACTAAACGAGCTCACGTGTAATTCCAATTTTATGAAACGAGTGAATAGTTCTGGTATTTGACGAGCGAAAGCGTATTATATGTAATACTTGCCATGCAGAACCGTCGTGTATGAATAGGCAGACACCTACACGATCCACAGACGTGACGTGATCTGTGGAATTCTGTTGCCAGATCCGCCGTCGACACAATGCCATGTGACGTAAGCCTAGCAACCGGGTCGTTGGGGTCATTGGAGTGCATAAGCTCCTCGCCAGTGATCTATCATCTCACGCAACGTCGTTGAATAAAGTCAAGCGATGTTGAGAGCTTCCAATGATTGTTCGTGTAACAAGCTCCTTCCAAGCGCGTGACACCTTCGTTACACTCTCGGTATATAGTATAGAGAGCTACGCGAACGGGCTATCGTTGTGAGGAGCTTGTATTGTAACTTGTTCCCGCAGTACATACGCACGCGCTTTGGTATTACATAATATGCTGACTACCAGCACAATGTTATTTTCAGAACAACTATTGTCACTGTCTATGTATATATAAGGCAATCGGTAACGGGAAATATGCAAGATCAGCCTCGAACTAACGGTATGTTTGCTATATGTTTGCCTTACATGAGAGTACACTATAAGCAAATCTGTATATGTTTCCCGTGTTTTTGTATGTTACAGTAAATCTTCTCGTGTGTTCATTCCCATGGGGGAATTCAGATAAATACATAAACATAAACAGTCTAGCTTTCGGCCACCCGGCCTTCAAAAGGCACAATACGTTGATTTCGCACGACATCATTCGAGATCCAGCAATGGTCATGTAGCTGGACTGTTGTTGAGTATGATGTTAAACAACAAACAAACACACACACAAATGCAGTAAATATTAAATTTTCTATTTGCTTTGGCAATTTAGAGGTTATTTGTAAATAACATTACGCGTAATATCTTTCATGACACTGGTGAGACAATATCTATGCTATTTGTGTTTTCCATATTTTGTTTTGGCATTCATGGGCAATGCAGACATATAGTATACCGGACATCTATTTTCACTCTTCGTTGTGTAGTATTTCTGTAGGGTAAAGGCAAATGCCCGTTGCCCTTATGTCTGATTTCGATGTGTTCCAGGTTGACCTTGTACCGTCTAAGACATGGCTTTCTTCATGAACTATGCCCAATGCCTTCTCCTGATTCAGATGGGAATAGGGACAGGTAGGTTAGTTTACATAATCACTATTTTCTTCCATAGATATGTTTTGACTACATTTAGATATACAAAATATATCATGTGGATTCAACTACAGAGTTTACTATTTTGGACAGTTACGATATTTTTAGACAATAATCCTACTTTCTGTGTCAATAAGGCCATACATAGAATGTGTGCTACTTGTGAGATGTTTGTCACAGGGAGTAGCCAAGCGGTTCACGCAGAAGGCCTGGGTTCGATTCCCGACATGGTTACAATGTGTGAAGTCCATTTCTGGTGTCCCCCTGTCGTTATATTGCTGGTATATTGTTAAAAGTGGCGTAAGGGCTACCTCATTGACACCATCACCTTTGTTACAGATAAAGATACTAGAAATACACTTTTGAGTGAGTGAGTGACATTTGAACAGTATTTCAGCGACATCATGTCACGACTGTTTTATATTGGAAACCCAAAGTGATGCAGGTCTTAGACTTTCAGGTCCTAACAAATCTAGAAACACAATTGGAACGGGCACCATCAAGCTCATGTGTCGAGTTACAAATATCTCTCTTTTGCAGAAGCAGTCACGTGTCAATTCCCTGATGGGCCAAAAGACTGCATGTTTCACTGCGGCGTAAAGGATTGCTCATTTTCTCCTATATTGTAAGAACACTATAACTATCACTTGTTTATTACTTATTGCGATTTTGTTGAGGATGCGAGCGCATATTGTTTTATGCAATCAACATATTAAAACCAGATTAATTCTGATATCCTTTTTTCATAATTCTTCAAATTGATTTCACCCCACATAATGTATTGCCATAAGAATACTGGTCATGATAAATAGAATAAGTATCCGGTTTCACCTGTGTTACAATACTCATGACCACGAATCCGAAGAATTACTGTCTCAGGCAAGCTACATCCCGTCGGTGCCGTATTCTCCTCCTTTTGAAACCCGCTTGAGAAGCCTCTACAATATGGCATGCGTGGATTTGAACAAAGTTTACCCCTTAGCGATGAAGATATGGAAACAGTGTCCCTTGGGCACGCCAGAAGCCTGTGATTGTGGGTTGGAATCCTGTTTCGCCCCTATTATAGTTCTACGTTTGTCATCACAATTGTTTACCGTTATAACGAACTCAAAGGGACCACAAATTTAAGTTCGTTATAACCGTAGTTCGTTATAAGCATATATACAGCAAATGGCCGGGACCCAAAAAACAGTTCGTTATATCCGCCAGTTCATTATAAGCGTGTTCGTTATTTATCGTACAGCATACTGAGTACATGTACTTCATGCGGCAGTACTGACTAATGTCTGGCCACCGTGGCCTAGTGGATAGAGTCTCTACCCGGAGGTTGAATCCCCTGGCCACGTCAAACCAAGATGTTAAAAATGGTACTTGTTGTTACCCTGCCTGACATGCATCGCCGTTTTCATGCAGTAATCTTGAACTCGTCCATTTCACGACCTCACCTTTTAAGGTGAGGTGAGGTGAAATTGGGTTTAACGTCGCGTCAAAGATTATTGCACTTATATTGCGACGTGCATGCACGTGTGTGTGTGTGGCTGCTTATAGCGATCGATGTCCGGACCGATGCCTATTTATAGTGCTAGCCCACTGAGATACCATGCCGCAGTTTAACAACAATACCCCACTCAGACACAGTGTACTGACTCTGAGCCGACCAGTCCTTGTTTTAGCCCCTTAATGCCGAGCGACAGACAGGGTGACAACAAGTACCATCTTTTAACGTCTTTTGGCATGACGCAGCCGGGGATCGAACCTCGGACCTTCCGCTCTCCGGGCGGACGCTCTACCACTAGACCACGGAGTCACCTTTTAAGTTAGCTGTCGTTATATGTCATCAACTTGTAGGAACCCATAATACAACAAGGACGCATGTCTGGCAGGTATGATTGCAAAATCCATTCCTATCATATACGAACATAATGGAACAGGTCGAATGTGTTCAGAGAATAAACCCTACTGTGAATTTATAGTGTCGCGAGTTAACATAGTATTCGTCATTACACATATATCTACTCGTTTCACGACGACACATATTCAAAGGAAAATATTACTTCATAAAATTAACATTGGCCACAACAAATCCTGCATAACTTAACATATTTTTTTATATATAAAGAGTACCATATAAATCATTGTTTAATGGCAATACAATATAGATAAGACAATGTTTCATTTGGTTTGCTTTCTTTCTGTAAAACAACACTATATTTTATATTTAGTTATTCTATACATAGCAATTACGTTGCAGGTTGTGGGTTGTTGTATGGGCCGTACTGATGCCTCTGGTGGGCCTCGGGATAGGTATCTGCTGCTGGTGCTCCCGCCGTGTCGTGTGTAGACAGAGACGTCGTCAACTTGCCACTTCGAAAACTGACTGCTTCTGCTGCTGTTGCAGGGGTGCCCGTGAACCATCTACTTCTGATTTTAGTCATCTGCATCCTTCACACGTACCAGACAACGAAAACCACATATGAATGAAGTAGGTGTCGTTGATGACATAATAACCATATATCGACTTTGAAATTGACTGTCATTTTGTGTAGTTCAGATGGATATGTGTGAGTTTGGTTGAACGCTGCTTGAACAATATTTCAGTTACATCGCGGCGTGTCAGCTTCGTGCGAGTGGAACGCCTGACTTGACGTAACCATCATCCCAATAGGGTAATTAAGTGAGTGAATGAGTGAGTTGGTTATGACGACGCTTTTAACGGTTTTCCAGTCATATCACGGCGTGTCAGTTTAATGTGGGAGGAAAGCCCGAAGTGATGCAGGCCTCAGACGTTTACCACTTCGATGAAACCCACGAGCACGGGTATGGTGCTGACAAACCTAGAAACATAATCGGGCCGATCCGGGATTCGAATCCACAATCATAGGTTTCTGGCGTGCCCAAGGGACGCAACTCTGCACAGCGAATCACGGCGCCTTAGACGACTGGGCCACCCTAACCCCCCTGGATCACTAAGTGACATGAGTTATTGGTGACAGAACTTTAGTGAACATTTATACAAACAACTTGTATTTTGATTGAAGATTCTATTACTTATACATTTTCTCAAGCGATTCATGTACAGATAAAAACAAGCCTTGTTCAGTATGTATTCTGTTTCCTAAGCTGCATGTTTAACCAATGAATATAATTTATGATTTCAGGTGGCCCATGACTTACGACTTAAGAAGACGACTATTTGAAAGCTCCACACATCACCTGCCAATTGCTGATCAATATGCTACGTTCTCGGTAGTTACGTCACTCTGGACAAAATATGAACTTATCTTCTCGTACCAATGCAGTAGAATTTGTGTAATAACGAGCATTAGCACTTTCTGTAGTACCACTGATATTATAATTCGTTTTTTCAATCACTTGAATTCAGTTCAGCAAGGTGGTGCGTTGTCACGGGGCTGTACTTTTAGTTTTAACAAAGTTAATTATACGATAAACATACTTATCATACTCCATGTCAGAATGATGATATCCGATTGGTCCACGTGATCTTGATACAATACTGTGTAACCCGCCTTGGAGGGGAATAAAATTCTCAGCGGGGAAATATATCTCTTATACCCCGTCAGCAAATAATGCTGCACGTGAACTTCTGAAATATGAAATAAGTCCCTTATACCCCGCTTCAAAGCAAAACGTCACACGCTTTTTCCGAGCCAATTGATGACATAGCGCAAGCTAACCTCAGCTCAATCGAGCAGCCGTTTTCTATGAATTTGGAATTTATTTGAATTATTTTACAATATCATATTAAAACATGTCGGTAAGATACATTCGTTATAGCAGGATCAGTGGGCTCGTGGTATTAAACCTAACCCGGGCCGGGACGCATAAAACCCTCTTAATGCTGCTACAACTTATGATGTACTGTGTTTTGAATGTAGAGCTAGGCTACCTGTATATTTAAACGCGCAAAATTGAACTGAACCATATGCGTTAATTAGTTCGTTAGTTGGTTAGTTCTCGTCGCTTTATGGCTTCAATAATGACGATGCGACGTTAATTTTAGTTAGTAAGTTAGCAGAGATGTTTTGTTGCGCTCGTTTGACCCGTATGCTGTTTCCGTCCTTCCTCACTTATCATGACACTTATTTGTCACGTATGGCAACAATCTGATTCCATCGCAACGTCATTATTTTTAGTAACAGATGATTTTTTCTTTTCATCTTAAAGTTTTGAGTTTTGTCTTTTCGAATGAAATGTTAACCACTTAAGAGGTAATGCAACTGAACAAACTCCGGTGAATGACTTGGCCGGACATTCAGATGAGGTGAGGTGAGGTGAAATGTATTGATTTGATATTTGTTATCTCATATATATTTGCTACTTTATTCATGTATGGAAAATGTTTTAGTAACTTTCATTTTCACGCAGTAGCGTTATTTTCTTGCACTAATAGATATTTTCCATGTATTTATGGTCATTTTTGCCACCTCAATAATTGTACATATCTGTTTTTGAAATCGTCAGTTGTACCGTTGGATAGCTTATGTTCAGCGCATTGTTTTGGTATCAGCATCTTCCGTATTGGTTTAGTAGTTAGTTTTCTATTTTCTCTATGTTAGGGGGGCAGTCGGGTAGCCTAGTGGTTAAAGCGTTCGCTCGTCACGCCGAAGACCCGGGTTCGATTCCCGACATGGGTACAATGTGTGAAGCCCATTTCTGGTGTCCCCCGCCGTGATATTGCTGGAATATTGATAAATGCGGCGTAAAACATACTCACTCACTCACTCTCTATGTTAGGAAACAAAATTTGGTAACCTCGCAAGGCTATTGCATTCCATTGGCCGACCTGGACAGGTAGTCCTCTACGACGTCCGCGCACTCGTATCAAACCATTGACGAAATTTATGTGTCTTTGCCGTCAGGCATATTAAGTCCGTTTACGGTCGTCTTGCTACTGGTTTGGTCAGGTCGAAACTCGGTTCCGTCAGTAAGTGGTTATGGGGCAGATCTCTGTCGGGTATTGACTTACTCATCTTGTAAAAGTGTTGATTTAGCTGCTGTCCTTTTTGCTACTATTATGTGATAATCAGCTTGTATATTTGGTCTGACCATTATCAGTTTAAATTGAGTTTTGGATTTTTTTTATATTGCCGTTTACTGTTACAATTAACAGATTAAACCTGTGAAACCATTACCACGTTTTTATGATTACTTTATTCTTGTTTAATGACACCCTCGTCTCTGGAGCACGGCTCCGTGACAGTGTTATGAGCTACGAGCCACGGCGTTGGGGTACGATGACACACAAGCAACGGAATCAGAAAGTGAGTGAGTGAGTGAGTGTGGTTTTACGCCGCTTTTAGCAATATTCCAGCAATATCTCGGCGGGGGACACCAGAAATGGGCTTCACACATTGTAACCGTGTCGGGAATCGAACCCGGGTCTTCGGCGTGACGAGCGAACGATTTAACCACTAGGCTACCCGACCGCCCGAAATCACCAAGCCTGACCACCTGATCCGTTACTCGCCACTGAAGTTGCTGTGATCAATTCTAATCCAGAAGTCCGATTGGAATCTGTTGACATAGACAGGTGAAGGCTGATTGTAAATCTACAGGCATACTTGGTAATACAGCTCATGTTTAACGGTGTATGAATGGTAAAACACACTTTGCTCGAACGAAAATCGCAAATATTACTTTGTTTACATGTATACAGACAGATAAACTACATCATCGACAATATCATAGAGGTTATGAAGAGGACCCGTGCATACATATCGTCAAGTCACACCCATCAATTTAATATTTCACCTAAACTTATAGAATTAATAATAATATAATAAATATTATAAATATGTACTATTTTCAATATTCATGCGATTGTAAAATTCCGACTAAATCGTATGTGTTTGTAAATCAGTATGAAATAGCTTTAGTGATGATACCAGGTGTTTGCGAAAAGGTAAGCGTATCCTGCCCCACCACCGGCACCCGTCACAAACACATGCAAAGGCAAGTCAAGTATTCACTTCAACATATGGTACGTGTACAAGTCACAATAGGGTATTAAATCGGACATCGTTTTTGTCTCACTAATCATGCACAGGGTTGTGCGAATTATTGAAACGTGTCTGAATGTATGATAGGGTTGAACGTGAGAGACACAAATGTGACGCATCAGTTAGAAACATGGTGTCCCTTGCAATTCCCTTTTTTGACTTGCACCATACGTTCCAGTGTTTTAGGTGAACAATTCATTAGCCTTTGCATGTGTTTATGACGGGTGCAACCGGTAGGACAGAATACGCCCACCCTTTCACATGGTATTATAACTTTTGAAAGTGATTCATGTACACATGCTCATGATATAGTCAATCGACTCTGCTTGTAGCAGAGATTTCTCAAATCAAATATTAATATGATTATTGAGAAGATTGTGTCGCCTTTATTTACAAAATGTTTAAGCATTTGAACATTGCTCCATGTAAATTACATGAACGAATGCATGCATATAAAGATGCAATTGCATTGAAACATGATAACATTTGTGATACAGATACGTAGAGAACAAGTTATCCATCTTAGGACTCCCTCTTAGCATCAGTGCCAGGGTGCAGGACGGTGACATGCTTTCCCTTGCCAGACTACAGCAGACTGGGTGATGTTCTGTTGATTGGTTTGTTGTTTAACGCCGAACTCAACAATATTCAAGCTATATGACGGCGGTCTGTAAATAATCGAGTATGGACCAAACAATCCAGTGATTGATATCATGAGCATCAATCAACGCAATTGGGATCGATGACATGCATCAACCAAGTCAGCGAGCCTGACCACCCGATCCCGTTAGTCGCCTTTAACGGCAAGCATGGGTGAAGACCTATTCTACCCCGGAATCTCCACGGGTCGATGTTCTGTTAGCCGTTAAGGGTACGACATGGAATCCTTTGCCTCAAACGTAGCGCGGTGATCACCACGCTTTGTGTGTTTAAACCCCAATTCTGCTACGGTAAATACTACATGTAGCTATAGCGTAGTATTGGAGATGTTAATAGAATTCTTTAATTTCAGTGACAATCGTTTTACAAGTTTGAGGAAGTTTTTTATAGACTTCGAGGGGTGTTCATTAAAGATTTCCCCTAAACCACTTAGGGTTATCATATTTAGTTGAAATTTCACATGTGTAATGATACATGTATCTATGGGTTAAGTCTGAATTTGCAGCACCGAACTATTAATCTTACCACTTTTACAGGTGTTATGATCGAGTAGGGTGTGACAATGGAGCCAGTAGAATACCGAGCAGTAATTAGGTTTTTATATTTGAAAGGTCGCACACCAAAAGAAACTTTCGATGAAATGAAAGCAACTTATGGGGAAGATGCCCCATCATATGACGTGGTTAAACACTGGCATCGCCAGTTCAAGTGTGGTCGGACATCTGTGGAAACAGCTGCCATTCCTGGTCGCCCCCATTCAGCCATTGATGAGGACACTATCCATCAAGTGGAGACCGCCATTTTGGCAGACCGACGTATAACTGTTCGCCAGTTAGTACAAGATGTCAAGATCAGTGTAGGGTCTCTGGAAAAAATCATCCATGACAATTGGAACATGCATAAGGTGTCTGCACGATGGATTCCCAGGTTGATCACACCTTTCCAAAAGCAGGAACGAGTCAATTGCTCAAAGGATCTTTTGGACATGTGCCAAAAAAAACAGGCAAACTTTTTTGACAGACTTATCACACAGGATGAAACATGGGTCCATCACTATGATCCTGAGACTAAAGTTCAGTCGATGCAATGGAAGCATGTGGAGTCACCACCCCCAAAGAAGGCACGTGTCCAACCCTCTGCAGGCAAGGTCATGCTCACGGTGTTTTGGGACCAGCACGGAGTAGTGATGATGGATTTCTTGGCAAAGGGTACCACAATTACAGGAGCTTATTATGCTTCACTGCTGCGGAAATTGCGGGACGCTATCAAGCTTAAGAGGCGTGGCATGCTGACCAAGGGTGTCCGTCTCCTGCAAGACAATGCTCCAGTACACAACTCTCATGTTGCCCAGACAGAAGCGCGGTCCCGTGGCTATGAAATCCATCCACATCCTCCTTACTCTCCTGACCTTGCACCATCTGACTTTCACCTCTTTCCAACCATGAAGTCAAAAAAGGGAAAACGTTTCACAGATGATGAAACACTGATTTCTGGAGTCAAGTCCTGGTTTGAGACGCAAAATGAGGGCTTTTACAAACGAGGTCTCCATAGTTGCATAAAACGATGGGAGAAGTGTGTAAATCTTGGTGGTTCCTATGTGGAGAAGGACTAATACCTATGCCAAGTTTCATTCCACTAGGTCCATCGGAAGTGGGTCAGGGGAAATCTTTAATGAACACCCCTCGTACATACTGCCCTTGTTATGGCCCCTTATGAAAACTATCTAGTATTAATTAAAAAGTCGAAATGTGATCCCGTGGATTCAGATTTGTTTTGAATCAAGGCAGGCCGGTACTGAAGCGTTACAGTATTGTCCTGAAAGTAGGTCTTGTAGCATCTTCGCGAGGCAAGGGCCTTAACTGACTTTAAAAATCCAGTTTCCAACCTTGCCCAACTAGCCGATTTTGATTGGATTGCGGAATTCCAGCCTAGTTCGGCGAGGGTCAGTTATAGTCAGTTAACGCCCTTGCCTCAGGAAGATGGTCTTGTACCGAGTTGGTAGTTGTCGAAATGGGGGCCAACAACTGGTTCAAAGACACCTCGAACGTACTGATTACCTGTTGGGTTGCCTTGTGTAGTGACCAGGTCCAGCTATACCTCTAAATAATTACCGAGCCTGCCATATCGTACAAACCCCTAAACCTAAACCCCTAAACCCTCACTCGTCCATGGAACAGGAACCTCCTTTCGGCCGACCAATGAATTTTCCGCCAGATTCGCAGGGATTCCAAACCCGTCGTACTAAACATCATGCCAAACGTTTGGTTGGTTGCTTTGTTGTTTTAAGCCGCACTCAGCAATATTCCAGCTATATGACGGCGGTCTGTAGATAATCGAGTCTGGACCAGACAATCCAGTGATTAATATCATGAGCATCGATCAACGCAATTGGGATCGATGACATGCATCAACCAAGTCAGTGAGCCTGACCACATGATCCCGTTAGTCGCCTTTTACGACAAGCATAGTCACCTTTTACGGCAAGCATGGTTTGCTGAAGACCTATTCTACCCTGGAATTTTCACGGGTCTCATGCCAAACGGAATCTTAATGACTCTCCTGGAAGTCATTCCTGCTGCTCTCAATCGGTTCCAATGTATCTTGTGGACTGACGTCGATTGGGTAGTCATTGTCGCTTCGGGGGCATGGGTGATCAAGTCGTCTAAGGCGCCGCGATTCGCTGTGCAGAGTTGCGTCCCTTGGGCACTCAAGAAACCTATGATTGTGTTCCAATCCCGGTTCGCCCCGATTATGTTTCTAGGTTTGTCAGCACCATACCCGTGCTCGTGGGTTTCACCAAAGTGGCAAACGTCTGAGAGCTGCATTACTTCGGGCTTTCCTCCCACATTAAGCTGACACACCGTGATAAAACTGGAATACTGTTGAAAGCGGCGTTAAACCCAACTCACTCACTCACTCACTCATTGTCTTTTCAGGGTGGACCTCTTGCTGTCGCTGTGCTAATCGAAGCAGTGCAGTCTTCAGGTGGTGACGTGACAGGAGGTCGTGTTGGCCGTGGAATGCCCTTCACAGCATTGGTTTGACCGTGTTTTCTGACCAATCGGTTGATTACACTGTAATAGTAGCCCGGACAGCCTGATAAGTTTGTAGAACAACCCTAGGAATGCAAACCAACTTTTTCCAAATTTTCATTCGCAGCTGCTTTGACTGAAGACCCATAAAGATCTCCTTGTATGGCATACGCCGTTATAATGATTGAAGTTCATAGGTAATTCTTTAATACTGACCCGTGAAGATCAGGGGTAGAATAGGTCTTCAGCAACCCATGCTTGCTGTAAAAGGCGACTATGCTTGTCGTAAAAGGCAACTAACGGGATCGGGTGGTCAGGCTTGCTGACTTAGTTGATGCATGTCATCGTATCCTAATTGCGTTGATCGGTGCTCATGATGTCAGACACTGGATTGTCTGGTCCAGATTCGATTATTTACAGACCGCCGTCATATAGCTGGAATATTGCTGAGTGCGGCGTTAAACAACACCCCAACCAACCAAGTGTGGCACTGTCTCTACGTGGACTCTCTTAGTTGTGAGATAAATATGACTTCTTTTGGGAGCTATGACGTCAGTCTGGAATGCCATGACGTCATGCTCTGAAAAGAAACGGTGCCCGAGAATTGCGGTCCCGTGGCTCTAGGTCTACCTAAAACCATTAAATTGATGTAGAGGCTAAAATTCCATTCTGAAGGTTTAAAATTGATAGTTAATATACGACTTGTTTGAACAAAACACACTACTTCGTGTTGTGCGATATTTTGTATTGCATAAATTGCAAATTGGGCCACTTTTAAGTACCGATAAAAGTACCCTGTGACGACATTCTGTATGTGTCAGCTTTAAGTAAACTGTGAGCAACACAATACTGCCTAAAATCCGAATGAGTGAGTGAGTGAATTTGGTTTTACGCCGCTTTGAGCAATTTTCCAGCAATATCACGGCGCCCCAAATCCGAAAGACATGGTATGTCAGATGGATTTCTATTCCATTCATATGATTCTCAACGCTGTTTTGCCTTTAACGCCCATTGGAATATGTTGCGTCGGGTAATCAGTTATATATTCTCATGCATAACGTTACATGTTCGATACGAAAAATAACTCGCTCGCTGACTTAGTTGATGCATGTCATAATATCCCAATTACGTGGATCGATGCTCATGATGTCAATCACTGGATTGTCTAGTCCAGGCTCAATTATTTACAGACCGCCGTCATATAGCTGGAATATTGCTGAGTGTGGCGTTAAACAACAAACAAACAGTAACTTTCCACTACCCCTTGAACTTAACCTTCATGCGTAATGTCAAAGGTCACAGGTCACGTCACGACTTCTTCAAAGCTCATACATTTCGAAGCACATGCTCCAGCTATATGACGGCGGTCTGTAAATAATCGAGTCTGGACCAGACAATCTAGTGATAAATATCATGAGCATCGATCCACGCAATTGGGATCGATGACATGCATCAACCTAGTCAGCGAGCCTGACCACCCGATCCCGTTAGTCGCCTTTTACGACAAGCATAGTCACCTTTCACGGCAAGCATGGGTTGCTGAAGACCTATTCTACCCCGGAATCTTCACGGGTCATGTGACATCTGAATGGTATGAGTTGGAACACCGGTATTGCACTGACGTACTTTTGTGATATAATAAGAAATGAACTGAGTAGAAATTAAGTCTTATATGATGTGTTATTTAGAGGTTAATGTTACACGCAAGAGCAAAGTGGTTAAAAGCTTTATTTGAAACCTGTTGAAAAACCACAAATTTAAATGTCTATATATGAGGCCACTATAGTAATGACGTCATAACGTTTCATAGCTGACAGGTAAATATGTTAGCTTCTTTTCGACACTGAATCTCAAAAACAGCATATGCTAACAGAATCGTAATTGTAGTTTCTAACCGGGAAGTACATTCAATAGAGCTGCGTTTCCCGATGCAGTTGCGATATGGATCACGTCAATAACTAGTGGATTAATGGCTATTTCATCCTTCATCTGCACAGCTTTTATTGGGAGACGAGAACGTAACATCTGTTCACTGCAATGAAAATATAACTTTTCTCAACTGCAGCATACTCGTTCACACTGAAGTATATGATAAAAGTTCTTCCTATAGCGTAGTTACGTTACGTTTTTTACTTTACAGGTGATGGTTCTTCTACCATTGTTCGGGTAATCAAGAGCCCTCCAGTCCGCAGAGCTCTCATTCTTGTCAGGTTGCTGGCTTTGACAATTGCAGCTCACATCACAGAGGTTGGATCAATCCTGTAAGTATATAGCCACTAATGGAGACATGGGTCTCTCCTCCCCGTTTGTTAAATTACATGTTAATGTTTTTAGACTGTACAACAAGATTAACAACAGTACTTGTAATGATTTGATTAAGAAAATGTTTACTATGCCTAAGTCTTATAAACGTTCATGGGGTACTAAAGTTGTTAAAATTGCCTGTAAGCTTAATATCTATTATCTGTGATGTTCTAACTGCTCCAATGTCCCGACAGAAGAAAATTGCCCATATTAAAAACGTTCTCATAAACAAAGATGAACAGAGCTTTGGAACGATAAACGTAACGTTAATGGTAATAAACTAAGAACTTACAGGCAATTTCATGATCGTAAAGTTGTTGCTCCTTATGTTTTAAGTATTAAATACAGGGACCACCGTCGCATTTTAGCTAGTTTTAGATCTGGATCTTTACCCCTGCAGCACGTTTTACAACTCCACCAACCGTTTTAGAAAATAGAATCTGCCCGCACTGTTTTAAACTTGTTCATCAAAAGTTTGTCGAAGATGAATTTCACTTTTTAATGTTATGTCCTTTATATGATGATCTCAGAAGTATTTTACTTACAGAATATATTGTTGTAAATCCGTTATTTGAAAATATTAGCGTTTATGACGCTTTCATTTATATTTTAAAATGTAAAGAAATTCAGCCTTTGTTAGCCAGTACACTTTTAATGATGTTTATACGTAAGCAATCATCTAGCTAGGCATTTAGCTAAACATGTAAATATTATTGTCAATGTATTTTATAGTATATAATGTATATAGTGTTTTATTGTGTCTCATAAGCCTAATGGCTGGGTGTTACTTTTTTAATATGCCAAAGAACATGTATATATCTCTCTTTTGTAACACGTGACACGTTAATAAAATAACTCTCTCTAGTATGCACAAAAAATTTCACCGAGATTTGCGGTGTCATAACAACGGTTCAGTTCAGTTCTGTTTTATTTCTCTGAAAAACCACCAAAGGTGGTACAAGAGTATATATATATATACAACATATAATATGCAATGCAGATCAAGATGGTAACAAGCCTCAATAAAACAAATATCAAAATAAAATAAAATAAAATAAATAAAATTAGACACCTTAACGTAATTATGTGTTCAAATGTACGATGGATCTGGACAGATGTTTCAAAGTGGATATATTTTAGGGGATGTCGTTTTACGCAATTTACACATATTTGGCCAGATATAGCAATTCTTTGGGATGTAAAGAAGTCGTTGTTGGAGAAGTGCTTCACACCGAAAAAGATAGTGAACTTCGTCTCCAACAGCAGATAAATTGCATAATGTGCAGACACAGTCTTCTCTCAGTAACCCTCCCAATCAGCCGGTTTCTATGGGCAAATGATGATTGGATGTGCGAAAATGTCTCCTGTGGTACGAGGTTGTGTCCTTTAGCAATGCCAAGATCGTTTGTTCCAATTTCACATTCCCCTTTACTGCGATGTTTTTGTCAGTATCATACAGGTCTGTGACTAGAAACTGCGTCTCTTTGGGATTCCCTCCCACATTAAGGTAATACACATGAAGCTGATGCACGTTTAATCATTTATCATCGTATGTATATTTAATACGCTGTAGACATTTAGTAGATCAATCTACTGTTTTGCAAGTTGATGCGCTCTACCATGACGACAAGAACCCATTTAAACGGCGGTCTTTTGGAACGCGTAAGCATACTTGGAGACGAAGGTATGCTGCCTTGTAATTAGAACACTCCAAAAGGGGGGGTCAGAGGTAGTTATCAAAATAACAAATATTGATTTCACTTGTCACAAATACATTCTGCGTTGTCATTCCTTTATTGTATTAGGGATTATCGTTGAGTGTGAGGCAGAGATTTGGTAGTACTTTTGCTGGACACAGCAAATATCTCTTTCTGTAAGGATTCTTATGGAGCTTTGGCGTTCAGTGATAAAGAGGAATGTTTTTAGGTGTTGGGGTCAGGGCAAAAGTTGATAGCAGAAAGTACACGTTTTTGTGAGTGTTATGTTTCAATCGTTACTGCTTCTAAATGTCATCCACAATACCATATAGCTTTACATGGTAGAGAAATATGTATACTTTTGGAATCATGTGTTGGTATACTTTGATCCTTGATAAGACAAGATGAAATGAGTGTCGATCAATTAAACGACCACATCAGAAATCGTTATTTCGTTAGAAATCGATGACAAACTGACACAATTTATTGATAACAACTTTTTTAATTACTGTAAAGGCGACGTTTCGGTATACATCCTTATACCGTTGTCAAGCAAGACTGAATTATGTACATTCTTAAGTACAGAATATATATAGTATGTGGAGGATTAACAGTAACAAAAATAGCAAACAAGAGAGAGATTAACATGAGTAGGTTCAGTAATGACAACATAGGGATAATGCTGTAAGAACATGATCGGAAAGACAATATGACAGGGAGCCAATTAAACAGGATAAGTATACATAGGTGGGATGATTATTGCTTAATGAGTTAATGAGTTTCTGTTGATTGATGGCTTGTTGCAGCAAATGTGGACTGCCTCTGTTAGTTTTATTTTAGTGAAGTCATGAAGGTTGTTGGAGAGTATTTGGACATTTTCCAAGTTGATGTGATTGGGGCAGTTGCTGATTTAGTCCGAAATGGACGATTTACTGTCTGATTTGATGGTTGAAGTTTTGTGCTCTGTGATTCTGGTGTTGATGAGGCTGGATGTTTCACCTACGTAGGACTGTCCACAGTTACAGTCAATTTTATAAACTACACCCTTTGGTTCTTGACTTTTGGTTATTATAAGTAGGACATTGAGAGAAGTGGAACTGAGAAGACAATGTCTGAAATACTGGACTTCCTCATTGATGACATCACCGTGTAATTTGGGGATAAGACAATTGAACAGGAAGGTGCTCCCTTTCTACCTGATCTGTTCCATTATGCATATGAATCGGAAACTATGCTCGGATTGGCAAAGTCAAAACAAGGTTATTTGGCCAAGAGGTTTAAGGTAAGCTTCAGGGGATAACGTTCAATAACAGTCAAATAGCCAATTCCCTTCCACTAATCTACCCACCTGAACTAGAAATGAAGGAGACCAACGATAGGCATGAAACCTCAGAGTGACCAAAACTATCCACAAGACTATGACGACAAGAGGGATGACTTCAACTTTCCAACAGTCACCTTTCACTTTATGACGAGCAACAGTCCAGCAGCTCCAGCCTTTGGGGTTTACATTTTGCAACTTTTGAGTCACAATCTGGCATGACTGTTCTACTAAGATTTCAAAGAGCATCATGTGACTCTTGCTTTAATTTGTTTGATCAAGACATCAACATTCACGGCCTCAGTAAAGCTTTCAAAACGTTTTATGATATAAATGTGGAGGACATTTCCTAAATTTGACGCCCCAGTGACAAAATGCAATCCCCTGTTTTGACGTGTACCATATGTTCCCATGTTTTTTGTCAGATGAACAATTGACTTGGCTTTGCATGTGTTCGCCAACACAGTGTCACAATGTCATAGCAACCCAAACACATGATAGAGTCGGAATCGTACAATTGACTCTGCTTTTACCAGATATGATAATGGAAAGAGTTTTGTCACTTTCATTCTATGAAGTGTAAACGATACATACCACATACAAGAACGTAACGTAAAAAAGAATAAGTGATTTTTGTGGATTCATTCAATATTCAATGAATTCGTTTCAAAACATTTATCGTACAGATGTATTATCTCAGGGAACATATCAAGCATCAGCTAGCTGTGAATAACACGTTTCTGATGATTGTGCCCGTGTTGCTTCATCCAGAGAGACGTATGGTTCTTCACGTTTCTTTTCTAACGCTTTTATTTTCATCTTCAGGCTGAAACATGCGAAAGTAAAAAATATATTAAAATTTCAATGTGTTGGTTACTATTTGAAAAATGGGAACTATTTTGTGAAACTTGATCATCTTCTTTCCCTTGCCGATAACGAAAACCAGAAATACCCTGGATGGATGGATTGTTGCTGACAACATTTATTCGAATACTCATCACACAAATAAGAACACTTTTAAATCAACAACTTCAATTCTGTCAATCGGACCACATTCACAACACATTTCTTAATTCTATACATGTTGTATTAGATTATTGCTAATACGTGCTAGGTGTTATTTGTTTATACATTGGTCCCTTGCGAAAAAGATTTAATTATACACAAATCTAAATAATGGACCTGTAATGCCCCAATTTCCAATGGGAAAACTGAATTGGTATAGCTGTTTGAAAAGAAATACACCAGGAACTAATACGTTGATATCTAATTTGTCGACAAATAGTGGAAACAATAGTTATAGTGGCTATTCTGTAGTTGAGAAGCGCATGGTGTACGTGTCTGAGTGAGTGAGCAAGATGGGTTTAACACCGCTTTTAACAGTATTACAGTTATATCACAGCGTGGGAGGAAAGCCCGAAGTGATGCAAGTCTCAGACGTTTACCATTTCAGTGAAACCCACGAGTACAGGTATGGTGCTGACAAACCTAGAAATATAGTCGGGGCGAACCGGGATTCGAACCAACAATCATAGGTTTCTAACGCGCCAAAGGGACGCAACTGCACAGCGAATCGCGGCGCCTTAGACGACTGGGCCAGCCGTGCCCCGCGCTCCCTGGGAAAATGATGAAAGTTACAGTTAAGAACGCTTCACAACTTCACTGTATGTCTTGAAATGTATGTACTGAAATAAACATATTACTCACCGTCTGATGTATAGAGAAGCCACCAGCACAATGATCATTGTCACAACCCCAATTGAGGCACCCACTGCTAGTGTTATGAGGTTAGAAGCTGGCTGATTATTCTTTCTAGCAGAGGCTGAAAATACATCATTGGGAATTAACTGAAATACACACATGTAGGAGCGTTTACATGAAAACTATTTCCAATTACACAATAAACCGTATTATGACTTTGCAGCCAATACTCATCCTCTTTTGGGATTGTACTGCACTTCTGTCATGTCGGAAAAATACACTAGGCCTGCTTTCATTGGTTATTCTGACTAAATACATTACATGTACGTACGTGTTTGACAATTTGCACCGATGAATCCAGGAGAGCATCCACTAGAGCAGCTTCCAGAGATCTTGTCACACACGTCCATGTTGTCCCGACAGTGACATTGTTTGCCACAATCATCACCAAACCAGCCGTCACAGCAAACTATAAAACAAAGGCGAGATTTTCACCTCACGTGTGTACGTTAAACGCTGAAATACACAATCATTTATTGTTCAAAGAGGTGTAAATCCACACTCCCTAAGTCGAGTATATCATAAGCAAAACTCAAAACTACTCATTTTGTTTTTATGTTTTACTGTACTTCTGGCAATTCGAATAAAAGCGAATTTGTTCTATATTTTGTTTTTCATTTTCGGTAAAACTACACTGCCCCTGCTTTCATTGGTTATTCTGACTAAATACATTACATGTACGTACGTGTTTGACAATTTGCACCGATGAATCCAGGAGTGCATCCACTAGAGCAGCTTCCAGAGATCTTGTCACACACGTCCATGTTGTCCCGACAGTGACATTGTCTGCCACAATCATCACCAAACCAGCCGTCACTGCAAACTATAAAACAAAGGCGATATTTTCACCTTATATGTGTACCATTAACACTGAAATACACACTGATATCGTGTTCAAAGAGGTGTAAATCCATTCTCCCTCACTCTCGTGTAGCAGTAACTTGTAGAGATTGGGTCCCCAGCACCCAATGTTCCTCGTAAGTACTCATCACCAAAATGGGATATGGGTGATCCCGATCTGTGAATAAGCTGATTGTGTGTCATCGCAACTCGATTGAGTTGATCACTACCATGGTTCACAAGACTTAATTATTTACAGACTATTGTGATGAGCTGGAATATTGCTGCCATTGGCATAACACAACGTTCACTTTCATTTCACACTTGTCATTTACATAAATACCATGCATACATGACTCTGGGATTTGTATTGGTTTTCAAATTCAGAATAGTCACAGTGAACCATGGAAATGATCTACAATGTTTCTAAATAACGTGATACAGTAACAGTTTAAAATATGACTTGTATATTCATAACATTGTCTTTATAGGCCCGTGAAGATCCGGGGTAGAATAGGTCTACAGCAACCCATGCTTGCCGTAAAAGGCGACTATGCTTGTCGTAAGAGGCGGCTCACGGAATCGGGTGGTCAGGCTCGCTGACTTGGTTGATGCATGTCATCGTATCCCAATTGTGTGGATCGATGCTGATGATGTCAATCACTGGATTGTCTCGTCCAGACTCGATTATTTACATACCGCTGTCATATAGCTTGAATATTACTGAGTTTGGCGTTAACCGACAAACAAACAAAACATTGTCTTTATAGCATATGTAACCGCCTCCTGAGAGTATACTGACTGACTGAGGATGGTTTTACGCCGCTTTTAGCAATATTCCAGCAATATCACGGCGGGGGACACCAGAAATGGGCTTCACACATTGTACCCATGTCGGGAATCGAACCCGGGTCTTCGGCGTGACGAGCGAACGCTTTAACCACTAGGCTACTCGACCGCCCCCCCTGAGAGTAGAAGATCGGTGGTTCGATCACCTGGCCGCGGCATACCTATTTGATAGTAATTTTATAAAGACATGTTAATGATATAGTCGGAATCGTACAGAGTACTCTGCTTTTAACAGACATTTCTTATGATTATTAAAAGTGTTTTGTCGCTTTTATTTGCAAGTAAAACAGCATGCGAACAATTGCCAAGATACAGAGTTTGTTCAAAACACAAACGTGTGGCGTCTTATCATGTCGTGCAACATAATTATTATTTTTAAAGAGAGATATATGGAGTTTAAGGCTGTTTATGTCCATGCCAATTAGGGCGTTTTGACCGAAGTCGCTCGTCCGGTTTTACTTGTCTCCTGTCCAGACATGCATATCTAACCGCTTGAAATTTCATAGTTATAGTGCCAACCAGCAGATCTATATGAATTCAATGTACACGTATTTAGCTTCCATGTCAAACACTTGCGCAGACGAAACGAGGATATGTTCTAAAAGGATTGCTGAACCGAAAAGGCTTGTTGACTTACAAGAGCGGCAATACCAAATGATGTATTTTTCATGACACTTTTAAGTTTACAAGCATTTTTTTATTTTGCTCTAGGCATAATAACATTTCCCAAGGGTGCCGTTGTTTCGAATGTTGGTATGTTTAATATGAAATACTTCTCATGTAAGTGCAATCTATCTGGATTAAGTGAGGGTACATACCATATATCTGCACCTCACACAGAGTGAGATACTCCTGTGGTGTCCGTATGATAACTGTGTTTCCTGACAGTGGTTGTCTGCAGGTGACGTCAGTGACATCATGAGGTCCTTCGGTTGATGACCAATTGTAGCACGTCTGGTTGTCCACCAGAATCTGCATGCCCCTATTTCGACCTGGCCCTGTCGTCGTATAGATTTAGTAGAGTTATGATCAATGCCGTATCTTGATGAAAGTCGTTTTGAAGAAGTGCTGCACATATTTGTTTGCTAATGTCACTTTTTGTATACACTTTAAATGGAAACATTATTATCTAAATAACCAAGAGTTTCACGTTCTGTATTTTTAATTCTTCATATTAACTTCTATAGTACTTACATGTATTGCGAAGATATAATTTCATGTGGTGGATTCTATCAGAGCTGCTTGTATTGAGCAATACTTTCCATGAAGGTGTCATGTCTCCAGTGTCAGTGTGAGCACATGGACTGTCATTTACGTGAGTTGAAACTAATCCATCCACCGCGTAGTCCGCTGTCAGGTTCAGTGGCCGGGACGTTTCATAAGGTTCGTACCAGACAGAGGTCTGAGCCGCCGGCTTCTTCAGTGCAACGTTTTCTGACAACATTCAGTTAACTATATAAATACGTATATGTATTATCAATTTAGGTTACATGTATATTAGAAACATTTTGTTAAGTCGTGTGATAAAAAGGTTAGGAACCAGAGGACCGTGTAGATATAATTTGCGTTACGATGGTAATCGAAAGTGTTTGATAAACAATCTGCACAAAAACAAGAATGAACGTAAAACCCTACCACTCCTAAGTCATGGACAAACTAAAAAACTGCAAATGACAGTAACTCTCAGTTCAGACATATTTCTCTTGGCATCCTTACCATCTAACGCCCAGGCATACATTTAATAAGGACGATCTTACATTTATGTAAATCCACATATACAGCCGCGGTTAATTAAACTGACGGAGCGGTCGGATAGCCTTGTGGTTAAAGCGTTTGCTCGTCACGCCGAAGACCTGGGTTCGAATCACGACATGGATACATTGTATGAAGCCCATTTCTGGTGTCCCAACAGTGATTTATGTGGGAAAGTTGCTTAAAGCGGCGTAAAACCAAACTCACTCATTCACTCACTTATTAAGCTGACTCCACTTAACTAGACAATTGAAAAACTTACTTTGGATAGTACGCCAGAGAACCTAAATCCACATGTACAGCCTCCACTCAACTAATCACTCGAAATAACTTGCTTTAGTCAGCGTACATGGGAAAGCATGTAATTATTATACTGTAAATATATCTTAAATTTGAAACATGTATTAGATTAACCCCAAGGTTCATCTGTTGTATCGCAATAGAATCAAGAAATTCATTCCTTATTCAATAATGTACAGCCAACTGTCATTACACTGACTCCAATAACTACAACGAAGGAGTAACGTACTTTAGACAGCCAGAGAACATAAATCAACATATACAGTCGACGGTCATTAAGCTTACTCCACTTAACTAGAAACAGGAAATACCTTGCATTGGACAGTAAGCCAGAGAACCTAAATCAACATCTATAGTCGACAGTCATTAAGCTAACTCCACTTAACTAACACGAAGAAGTTTCTTGCATTGGACAGTTAGGTAAAGAACTTAAATCCACATTTAGAGCCTACTGTCATTAAGCTGACCCCACTTAACTAAAAACACACGGACTAACTTACTTTAGTCAGAGACCTCAAATCCACATATACAGCCTACTGTCATTAAGCTGACCCCACTTAACTAAAGCACACGGAATAACTTACTTTGGATAGTCAGAGAACCTTAAATCCACATTTACAGCCTACTGTCATTAAGCTACCCCCACTTAACTAAAAACACACGGACTAATTTACTTTAGATAGTCAGAGACCTAAAATCCACATATACAGCCTACTGTCATTAAGCTAACCCCACTTAACTAAAAACACCGAATACAACTGGTATCTCATTTGTATTAATTTACACTGAGGTGACATGAAACGGCATATTCGCCAGGCGATACACTCTGAGATTCGTAGGTTGAGGTAAGCATATTGTGTAATAATGATGAAAATGACTTTCTTTGACGAATATTCACTGCATACTCCTCCTCACGTTTCTGGCATGTTGGACCGAACCATCCCTTTATACATCCGCCATGTACCTCATAGCCACAAGTAGTGGCCGGGGACGCCGTACAGGCACTTGCATTGAAGCAATGGCATTCTCCAGCTGCAACAACAAAAATAGCATCAGTTCAAATCCAAAATACAAAATGAGTTACTCCCCCTTCCTTCAAAACTACGTGTCCATAGTATAGGCCGCATCATTGTAATGCTGTTAATATAGTTACAGCCACTTGCAAAGGTCAGAAACCGACTGAGTGGCATTTCCGTGACGGCTCGGAGTTAGGTAAAATGTTGAAAATTCGAAAAATAATACTTTCTTATCATAACTACGGTATCTGTATTTTGCATATACGTAAAACATGAGTGAATACAATCATATTGAAAAAGTGAGCGAGTATATTTTTTACGCCTCTTTTAGCAATATCACGGCGGGGGACACCCGAAATGGGCTTCACACATTGTACCAATGTCGGGAATCGAACCCGGGTCTTGGGCTTGACAGCCCCCTTTATTGAAAGAGGCGCCAACGGAAAATACGCGTTGTCGCGTGAAACATTGGTGATGAGATTGTTACACCCTGACACAATATGTTTTGTTTCATTTGACCGCTTAATTGTTTCAGTGGAATCAAATGCATGTTCAAAATGAAATATTATATCTCACCAAGTGCTGCTGAAAACAGCATATACAGCTCAGACACAACGAGCAGCCACATTGCTTTATGGTCCGTGTAGAGCCTACAAAAACGAAGAACCAAATGATACTTTAATTCAAGCATCCTGGTGTGCTGTCAAAGAAATATCACTCAAATATATGTTTTAAACAATGCTCAAAGCAATTGCAAAGATATTTTCACAATACGTAATCTTTCAGATACTGACAAATGTCTGTCACCCAGATCCTGGGGCCTTCAAATTCCTGTTATGTTTGTCTGTTTGTTTGTTTGTTTGTTGTTTAACGCCGCATTAAGCAATAGTCCAGCTATATGACGGCGGTCTGTAAATAATCAGGTCTAGACCTGACAATTGTAAGGTCTTCTGGCCCACATAACATACAACACAGAGGTACGAACACAAGACGTTTACTTGACAAGGACAATAACGAGACTCGTTACAATCGAAATCGGATCACGCGTCATAGTCTATGATTCCACGTGCAGCCACACACTTCTGTTGGGGACCGTTGCGTTCGGGCGAAGCTGTCCAGTTCCGGGAACAACCTCACATCCCTCCCCTCTCAAGAAAGGTCTGGCACGACTTGATCAACACTTACGACGACTGTTTCTCTCGATGAACGATCTGATGACTTGACTTGCAGGGACTCACCATAACACTTGGATATCACAAATCCAGACTTGAAATGCTGTTTTTTGAACTTATGTCCTAATATTTTCACAGCAACACGATCACCAACATTAAACATCCATGAAACTCTTTCAGATGTCTGTTCTTGACGATGTAATTTAGCTAATGTATGAGATTCGACACACTTATCCCATAACTCTACACAGCAATCCATTTCCTCCCCCACAGAAGAAAAATCGTCTGACACTAACTGGTGAATCAAACTGTTACGACCAAACATAACAAAAAACGGAGCAAAACCAGTGGTGCGATTTATCAACGCATTATGTGCTAATACAATTTCTGGCAAAACTCTGTCCCATGTTTTCTCACACTCTGCTGTTTTCACTAACGAAGTTTTTAATGTTCTGTGAGCTCTTTCGACTGGTTTAGCTTGTGGTCTAGCAACTGGAGTATAACTACATCTAATTCCCCAAATGGAAGTAAACATACTGAACTCTTTGGATGTAAAGACAGTGCCATTATCCATATGTAAAACCCTTGGCGGACCAAATATGGAAAACAGACGTTCCAACACTGTTGCAGCACTAGATGACGTCGCCGTACGAACTGGAAAGGCGAAAAACATCCTACTCAGATCATCTAAACATGTAAACACATACACATAACCACAAGACGAACGTGGAAGTGGGCCAACAAAATCGCAATGAAGAACCTCCCAAGGACGCGAAGCAGTAACCGTAACACCTAAAGGAGATCTAGGTATAGCATGTTGACCCTCTATACACACAGTACATTTCTCCACTATTTCAGCTACCTCGCGTTGAGTAATTGAAGAATTAACTTTCTGTGCTAATTGCCATGTTCTTTTTACACCAAAGTAACCCAATTCATGAGCTTTCCGAATAATAGCACGTCGTTTATCAGGTCGGGGATAACCACCAATCGGCGTATAATAAGCCAATCGACGTATTATACGTCAATTGGCGTATATAACATACGCCGATCGACGTATGTGAAGACAATCACAGCGCAGGCCATGCAAGAACCAATATCCGACTGTGCGCTAGAGCGCCAATTGAAAGTGGCCAAATGCCCGCTTGCGACAGAAATGACAATTCACCCATTAAAACTAGAATTTGACCACACATGGCACACAAATACACCCCCCGTCAACTTACTTGCACACATATCAGGCTCAACGACAGTGTTATACTTCTGTTTGCTCAGTTTAATGCACATACACCGCTCAGTCGGACATCTGCAACGCCATGTTGCTCTGTACCGGAAGCAGTACTAAACGATAAAAGGAGATGTTGACTGGGAAATGAATGCACAAGCCCAAACAAACAATTTCTATGGAGGCCCAGTGGCTGGTCATAATTGAAGAAATCCGAATTACAAAATGAAATGGAAAATAAAACCGTTAAACAAATAAAAATTGAGGGGAAAATGGCATGGCAACAGTGTACACGAATAACACATGTTGACAACCATTGGTACAGAAAAAGAACGAGCAATCCGAGTGGTTAAGAATCGTTAGTAAAGGTGTATATAAAGCCATGTCATGATAGGAAGTGTGTCTGACTACAAATTCCTGCACAGGAAAGGGTATGGAGGAACATAATCATTGTACTGATTGACATTGTGATATATTGTATTTTGAACTGTGATACTGAACGCCTAATATTATCTGTGATTGAAACCACCGTCAAACTGTGATAAACTCAACATCTGTGATAGAAATTATGTGAATACTGACTGTGATAATTCACGTACATTGTGATATAACATTTGTGATATCCACTTGATATATATAGATAAATAGTACGCCATATTGAATGTATAATGGAATGTGGGTGTACACAACATGACAATTTCGTCGGAGAAAAAACCTTTAAAGTGTACAAACTGAAATGGCGCAAAATCCGCCAACCTGTGATAACTTTCTTGAGAACAAATGGGTGGCTGTCAACCACAAACAATAATTTGTGCACTGAATGTGCTAACTATGTGGAACTGAACCATCTGCCAAATGTATCTGATAAGACCTTTCCCACAGCTGTCGACGTTGCACGTTGTATTAAATCCGGTGTCTACACCAGTGACGATTTGCGGTGAATTGCTGTCGCACTTGGTAACACCCAACAGCAACAATTGTACCATGACGGCCAGATTGTGTCATCCCAGTACAGGGAACCCGATAACCTGAGCAAGTATGATGCCAAGGAGTGGTTGACACAACAGAACCCTGTTGTTGTAGCTCTGTTGCAATCACTTACGAATGTGAATAGTGATAGTACTGCCACTAAACATGCATATTTGGCTCGTGCCTATGAACTCATATATGGTGCAAGGAACAGTAATGTGATATGCCCGCTATCGTTCGCCATGAACCTGTTACTATATTATGTGACAGGCAGTAAAGTGGCCTGCAATCTGTCGGCCAAGACAAGTCCATCTGGCTCTTACCAAACCATACTAAAGTGGATCAACGAACAAGCTGCAGTGCCTGTAAAATGTCCCACAGCAGGAGATATCATTACATTTTTTGACAATAATCAGGTGCTGGCGAGGAATTGGAGAGTCCGATACGACGCCAAAGCCATGGTGAGTGTTGTGACGACATTGCTACACATATTCCCACCTGACACTACGTTGCAGACAACACCCCATCTCAGTCCATGCAACTGGTTGACGTATGACGTCATATCACTACAGAACACACTACCCTCTTTCATATCTCCGTCTATGGATGTCTTTCGTCATTACCGAACACAAGTACTAACTTTAATGTTGGACAAAGTCCTTGCAGAACAAGGTGCGGATGGCGTGAGTGACAGTTTTGATTGTGCCGTGCTGCCTGATCCACCCACAGCTATGGATGACACCCATTACACGGTGAGTCGGGATGACGATACTTCAAAGATCAGGATTGTGAGATCAAATAGGACACCAAACAAGTATGACATTGTTGAGGCTGGTGAACTGTTCCACCCAGATCTAGTGGTAGGTGAGCCCGTCATTATAAATCCATGTTCATACATGTCAATGGAGGTTGTGCTCCGCAGGATTTTGGAAGATGTTGGTGTAGGAATTTCGAGATCATGGTGTGTCATTGGATGTGATGGCCTTCCGTATAACCTTGCTTCGCGTGTGATTGACAACCATTACACATGTTCCATCTGTAATGCCACCGATATTCATGGCATGTCTGACTTACAGAAGCATCTGGATGATGACCACAACCAACCATGTCACAATCCACAGGAACACCGGACGTTCGGAAATATCTTATTGCTCCCAGGACCCCGATACATGGAAATCAACATGGCAAAGGCAAGTTTTAAGTTATTGTGGGATGTCATCCTTAAAGATCTTGCCATCATGCTGGGTTTCAGGACAATTCGAGCCCAAGACGCGTGCCGACATGCCACGGATCATCATAAGGCATGGCAGATGCTGGAGATATTTCTGTGGGGGACGGGAGCTGAACTTCTCGTTCCATTTATCAGAGAGTGTAAGCAACATGGCAGGCAGGCAAGTGTGACTCTGTTACATTCATGGCTATCATGTGCTAAGAACAGGAACTACCTTTTCATGGCCGATGTCACCTTTACATATATCATGGCACTTTTTCTCTTCCGGTGTGGCATGAGAAGAGGAAATGAGAGATTGATTACAGAATCCTATGCACGTTTCTCTGACCTGTTCTATGGCCTACACATGACGCAGTACCAGGAACTCACACTTCGGGAGCATCATGTCAGGTACTCTTGTCCACCAGAGGTGAAGGACTTCATCGAATCGCATATGTCTATGTCTGCGTCAGGGAAGGATTTCAGGGGTGAAGGGGGAGATTTCGTTTTAGAGGCCAAGAACAGACGCATACAGATGTGGATGCCTCCGGGACTTCCCACAGAACAGCACTGGCAGAGAATATGCCGCAACATAGATACCTTAGACCAGGTAATAACCCTTTATGAGTGAGTGAGGTAATGCTTTACGTCACATCGGCAATATTTCAGCCATATCGTGACGAGTAACCCGTTATGAAACACTTAATCGATTTTATGCAACTATGGAACAAAATGAAATTCATACTGACAAAACAGTAAAACGCACAAACCAAGGTACTTGAAAAACTCTCAACGTTTAACTAGATGACAGATATGGCAATTTTACAATTGAATGTATTATTCATATTATGAAACTTTTGTAATGTATCATGACAAACTACGCACACCATTCATTTGTTGTCATTTCGTTGGTACACACTGCAATATATTGTTAAGGTTTCGTCTGAATATGTACATACTGTCCTTACAACAGTAGAAATACATTTATACAGCCACAGTATCAATTTTCATTTCCTTGCCGCTTTAACATATACAGGTAGGGGGAATAACTGCTGTTTAAGGATCAATACTTATACAGCTGCGTGGTGTTGTTGTGCTGAGGTTCAACATTCCCCATGTAAGGGGAGGTTACTGCTGTTTAATTGGCATTGAATAATGAACTCCGTATTTCCCGACACTCGGTTTTCAGTTTGTGCGCATATTGTCATGGATTTTCAAGAGTTGTATTCACCTGAATAATGGCCCTTCATGAGTAAACCACAGGCTTTGAAAATGTATAAAAATAATAGTAACAATAACAACAGTTTCGTAGCAATTTTATTAGAGTGTTGTGTGTCTGTGCTTATCACAGTAGAATGGAATTTTTCTCATAATGCTGAGGTGTTTTTTTGATACACTGTAACCTTGACAGAGGAAATGCACCCAATAATCACAATTTGGGGCATCACATCCTCCCCATGGTCCCTTTTCTGTGTCGCCATCACCATCTCTTTCAATATGGCAAATGGCACATTTATTGGCACTCGATTGCCTAAACATGGACACTGTTGTTTGTGCATGAACTGATGTGGTAGTTTTCCTGTTAGTGGGGGAAGGGAAGGGGACGGTAACCACATCATCGGGTGTTGCTTGTGCTGGAATCCCTTGTGTTTCCATGGGTCCATGTTGTTTCATCTGTAAAATATATTAATATGCATATGTCACATGTCACAATGACTTGATTGACGTTGACTGGAAATAATACATCTGTTTACTGGTTGATTTGCTTTACTTACGAGCAATTTGTCGTACTTCGCTTTCAGTTCATGTGATCCATAAGACCAATTTTGTTTCGATGGCGTCACAATGTGTAGGTAGGCCTCCGAATGCGTCCGGCTCACTAATTCGTCTACCTGAAACATTTCAATTTGTAGTATTCATGTTTACTCTTACTGTCACACATCAGCATTACATCAATTCTGTATTTACAGATCCGATCACATCTGTCTAAGATGTCTGGTGGTGCCCCAGACGACACCGATGATGTCTATCATCCGAATCTGGACACCGAGATCCGTCACTGGCGTCATCGTGTGCGACAGTCTGGGTATCTGGCCAAGCCTGCAAGTGCAGTTCCGCACACGTCCCTCTCAGGACAGCCCCTGGACTCTGAACTCTGTATGTTTGCAGGAATGTGTGTTAACAACAAATCTGTGTATGTTAATGCCATTGTGTCAGGCCAGAAACTGGGATGCGTGGTTAAGCTACCACGGGTTTTCATTTTGGCAGGGGACCGTGAGAAGTCGCAAGATATCACCAAGAAGACAAACGCCGAACTGGTCGATATGGTCACAGCGGAAATCAATCAGATTGAGGACCTTGGATCGAAGGATGTGGCAGCATCTCTGCGTAAGGACTTTCACCGCCATGGCAGGACTGGCACTAAGTCTGTGCTGCTCACATTCCTCCGTAATGCCAGCGACATTCTGGCAGGCCTTCTGGAGGTGATGGATTGAGACTTCAGGTAATGTATGCTTTTACATGGCCATTAATATTGATGTGTGTTTCTTTACATATGTAATGTTTTACATTGTGTTATCATACCTTCTTCATCAGTGTCCGCTTTCTGGAGCAGAGGGTGTTTGATTTCTTTTTGGCGTCACTCACGAATGTTGTAGGCATTGGTCCCGTGTGATGATGTTTCACCACTGTCGGTTTTTTGGCCTGTGTTAGTCGACGTTTTTTGTGTCTGTAGGTTTCCGGCATCTGTTAAAATGTATTTTCTGTATTTACAGGTTCCTCAACTGCTTGACCTGCACGCCACTGACATGCAGTACCTTCATGATTCATCTGTGATATTACTTCCTCAGTGTATATGGAGTGACAGTGACACTAGCGTACCCTGAGTCATCTGTGATATTACTTCCTCAGTGTATATGGAGTGACAGTGACACTA